AACTACAACTCCCAAATGACAAAACCAATCCCCTCCCCATCAGTATTCAAATTTGGGTATATCAGGTATATGTGCCAAATTTGGTCCAATGAATGAAAGTACATCCTACATATCAGATATTTATATTATGGTTCATAACAGTAGCAAAAGTACAGTTATGAAATAGCAACGAAAATAATGTTAAGGTTGGGGATTACAGCAACATGAGGAACTGGCATTAGGGGTTATGGCATTAGGAAGCTTGAGAACAATAGATTTCAAGTAACCTCCTTATGGAACCAGAGTCACTCGGAAATATGAAAAAAACAAATCTTTATGACAGGTGCTCTAGAGCTTTGGCAATCCACATGTTGAGATAAAACTGATATCACCTTGTGATATAGCATAGTGGATTAAGTGTTGGACTGTGTTAACTGTGCAGAACAGGGCTGGGAAAACCCACTGAATGGCCTTTGGCAAGTCACACATCTTTAGCCTCAGAAAACCTTGTGAAAAGGATGCCTTAAATCAGAAATGACTCGAAGGCACGTGATAGCAACAACAGGTTAGAAATATTATCTAAGAATAAAAACATCAACCAACAAACTTCAGTCAAAATCAGTGCTTTTGTCTGAAACAGGATTGGCCTCTGTCTTAAGCCTTCTGTGATGCCATACATTTGGGAACAAGAAATAATCTAGTCTAGCAATGACTATATAAAAATAAGCAGACAAAAATAAATCATGGGCACTACCTCACAACTAGCTTAGGCTTGGAATGTACCTTTGCAATTCATGCCTGCATTCCTGAAAAAAGGAATAGCATCCCCAGCATTTTTCATGAATGGCCAAAGAACGAAACTGTCCCCTACCCTTTGTAAAATAAAGTGTTACTTAGGAGATCCCTCGTAGCTCGAGGATGATGGTCTTCCAGATGTGGTGTCTTGGCGGTGGGTCTGTTGGTGGCTATGGAGCCCTATTCTTGATCCGCATCCACCTGGAAACTGAGGACATCAGTTTCCAGGTGGATGGTAGTCCCAGTCAGGGTTGGCTTGATGCGCCTTCCTCTTGGCATGTTTCTCTCTTTCTGTTCGTGCCTCTTCGAATTCCGCAGCACTGCTGGTCATAGCTGACCTCCAGTTAAAGTGCTCAAGGGCCAGGGCTTCCCAGTTCTCGGTGTCTATGCCACAGTTTTAAAGGTTGGTTTTTAGCCCATCTTTAAATCTCTTTTCCTGTCCACCAACATTCTGTTTCCTGTTCTTGAGTTCAGAGTAGAATAGCTGCTTTGGGAGAAGGTGATCGGCCATTTGGACAATGTGGCCAGTCCAGCGGAGTTGCTGGTGGAGGAGCATTGCTTCAGTCCTGGTGGTCTTTGCTTCTTCCAGCATGCTGACATTTGTCTGCTTGTCTTCCCAAGAGATTTGCAGGATTTTTCAGAGGCAGCGCTGATGGTATTGTTCCAGGAGTTGCGTATGATGTCTGTAGACAGTAAAATAAAGTATAACTGTTACTTTACTCTTGCTTGCTGTTTGTATTATGCAGAGCTAAAGGTTTCAGAGCAAACCAAGGTAAAGAAAACTGAAATATAATCCTGAAGTACTTACATGACATAATTTCTTTGGACTGTCCATCTAATCCTGATAGGCCTTTCACAGCACTTTGAGGAAGAAAAAAACCTGTTTTATCATAGGTAACAACCCAGTAGTTCATTTTGACTGTGGGGTGAAAATATTTTAAGAATTCTAATAAGCTATATCATAGTAATAATAGTTGGGCTTCTGTATTCGTAGGTCCTGTATCCACAAATTCAACCGACTTCAGTTTGAAAATGTAAAATCCAAAAAGCAGACCTTAGATTTGCCTTTTTATATAAGGGACACTGTTTTACCACACCGTTGTATATAGTGGGGTTCAAGCATCTGTGGATTTCGTTATCAGGGCTCCTGGAAGAAACCCCAGCAAATGCCAAGTAGCGCTACATTGTCTGCATTGCTTTCTTAACGCTTGCCAGAATAGGAGGATGCGGTTCATTAGATATGCAACAAGGGGTTGCAATACAAATCAAACTCATCAGTGCAAGGAGACCTTTCTCCCAAACCAGTATCTAAATACAGTAAAGAGCTCCTGTAAGAAATAGATTTTTTTCTCAGTTGAAGTTGAAAGAGAGTTCAAATTCTGTCTTTAAAGGTGGGATCAGATACAGACTTAAGATCAATGAAAGTGGAAACAGTCTTCTGGAAGGTCTGAAATGTCTCTCTGCTTAGTGAGCAAAAAGAAGACATGATCTATTGTGATTCTTGCCTGTTTCAAATCTTGAATACCTGTACTTTGAATGTAACATAAGCATTGTTCACATAGTTAACTTGGAGACATTTTCACCCTTTACCAAGGAACTTGGTTCTTACATTATTCTGCTATTGGCGAAATGTGTATGTAATGATGGTGACTTACTTTGGTTCAGGGGCATTGGGCAATTGATGGCGACTCTGATGTTCATGAGGGAATAATTTTAAATGTTGGCATAACAGAAAGGATTTAGCTGTGTTTGCATGCCATCATGAAGATTAAAGATGTAGCTTGTGTGAAGGAATCCACATTCATTGTGATCACTTCGTGAAATGTGTGTGGACACACACGGTCTGATTGCTCCTGCTTTAGCTCTTCCATTGCATGAAGAGAAAAAGAGAGAAATTGCAGTGAAGTCCATAATCAAACTGACTGGAAGCCAACTTTAGAGACGGATTGAAAAGTCGACTTGTTTGGAGTTCCCATTTTGCATGTATAGTATAAACCACATATGCATGGGATCAGTATCTTCTAGGCATTTTCTAATCTTTCTGTGATATTCCTCGGCAAGACCTTCATTTCAATCCAGTTCACTACTTTCAATGATTTTGCATATCCACACAAAATCCAGGAACATATTCCCCATGGATATAGGGATTGTGGTCTAATGGGAATCTGTATTTAATGCTTGAATCCTGGCTTATTCTCTTTGTTTGATAGGATGAGTCAGGGTGCAGGAGAGTTGGGGCTGCAAGCAGAATCACCCTATCTGGCCATACTCTGACCTATTCCTCTACTATTACTTTGTATCTAAGGAGCTGCGGTGGTGCAATAGGTTAAACTCCTGTGCCGGCTGAACTGCTAATCTGAAGTTTGGTGGTTTGAATCCGTGAGACAGAGTGAGCTCCTGTCTGTCAGCTCTAGCTTCCCATGTGGGGACATGAGAGAAGCCTTTCACAGAATGGTAACACACCCAGGTGTCCCCTGGCAATGTCCTTCCAGACAGCCAATTCTCTCACACCAGAAGCGACTCGCAGCATATTCTCAATTCGCTTCTGATATGATTTTAAAAAATTGGATCTTTTCTGAAAAATTAATACACTTTTACTTGTTGAGAAATTAATGTACAGTTGTCCAACATTTCTCTCTGAGGTGACACAGGTTAAAATATAATTGCCTCCTCTGGAAGGGTCTTGTGAATGAAAATGCAGTTTAGAGAAATCAAAGTCTCCAGGGAAATAAGATAAAGGAAGCAAACAATGATCTTTATTAGGGGGACAAAGGCAGTGACATCTCCAGCCCATCCCCTGTTCGGATATCAGCCAGCCAGCATGCCAATGACTTAAATCAAGAAATAGTTTTCTAAGATATACAGAGACACTTGCTGGAACACCTCAGCAAGCGAGAGTCCAAAAGTGGAAGGCTAAAATCCAGAACCCCAATCAATGGCTGATACCAAATGAGAGACTCCCTCCTAGGCACACAGAAAACTGGGCGACTTCGAAAGCACTGAACAGACTGTGCTCTGGCACCACAAGATGCAGAGCCAAGCTTAAGAAAAGGGGCTACAAAGTGGAGTCCACAACATGCAAGTGTGGAGAAGAGCAGACCACGTACTACAATGCAATCTGAGCCTGCCACATGCCCAATGGAGGACCTTCTTATAGCAACACCAGAGGCACTCCAAGTGGCCAGCTACTGGTTAAAGGACATTTAATAAAATGCCAAGTTTGCAAACTGTGTGTGTGTGTTTAATTACAATACAACTGTTTAGTTCGCTCCTAACACGATAAATAGGAGAGGAATAGGGGAATCTTGATCTTGAAAAGCCAATACCAACCAATACTTATACACAGGGTTGCTGCATCTAGGCAGCATATCGGTCCATATTTTTCAAGACATCCTCAGCATCCCTTTGTGGTTGTGTAGCAAAGCCTGCTACTCTGTCCCCTGCTCTTGGGCAGCAAGTGATTTGCCTGCAACTATTTGGAGTCACGGCTTGATCAGATTCCTGATGCAAGGGGAGGAAAATCTGGGCCACTTGTAAAGACAGCCATCTTTCTCTTCACACTAGTCTCTCTCTCTTTATTCACATTCCTCACCCTGGGCACATTTATTTCTTAAGCAGCATAATTCAGAGGAAAGGGTCTGATTCTAAGAAGGGTGTCATTGTATTTTCAAAGGCTTTCATGGCCAGAATCACTGGGTTGTTGTAGGTTTTTTCGGGCTGTATGTCCATGTTCTAGAAGCATTCTCTCCTGACATTTTGCCTTCATTTATGGCAGGCATCCTCTGAACATGGACACACAGCCTGAAAAAACCTACAACAACCCAAGGGTATCATTAATCGGCAATGCTTCTCCCCTCTTGTTTCCACTCAGGCCTCTTCCTTATGTTACCCTGTCTAAAATGCATTGGTTGATCTCTTCTTCAGTTGCAGTTTTACCTTAAGGTGCAGATGTTTTTGTTGTTAAAAAGGCTCTGGCACTCTCCTCCCCCTCTCTGCACTTGGTGGTTAAATCTGTCCACCCCCAACTCAGCATTTCTTTCTTTCTTTCTTTCTTTCTTTTGGCTGTTGCTGCAGCTAGTGCTGCTGATGGTACTGCAGCTGTTGTTGTGGTGGTTATTGTTATTGGTGGAAGGGGAGCATTCTTCAGGGACACGCTTGTGAGAAGCCCAGAAGCCCTCCCGTTCGTCATCCACTATCAAAGAGGCTGCTCTGCGAGCTGACTGAGGCACAGCCGCCCAGCCAATCGCTGGGCTCTTTCCTGACTCTGTCATCAGCCCTTGGTTGGGGAGAAACGGGTTTTGCTTTCAGGCTCAGCATTTGCAAGGCAGATAAAATGCCAGGTCTGGGCTGCCTCTCGGGATAACCTTCCCCTCCTAGGATGTGAAGGAGTAGCATCTGGGCAGGGGGAAAGTCCACAGGGGCAGACATTAGATACATACAGAGTCCCAGGAAGCGGAGGGGCTTCCACCTAGGCCTTTGCCTGCATTTGTTATTGCCAAAAACAAAAAACAAAAACCAGCTGTGGCTTTTGTAGGAATTTCACTTTTTGCCTTGAGGAAGGGGTGCCTTGGATTATCAGACCTCCATGTATGACAATTTGTACCTGCATGGATTTGAAGACTCTGAGGCGGTAAGTGTCGGCTGTATGTGCTGGGATTGGGGTTGTGGGGGAGGGGGGTCATTTAACAGTCCCATCTTTTTGCTGGTTTTTGTTGCTCCTTTCTCGGAACAGTGAAGTCTGCGGAGGAGAGAGACGCCAAAGGAACAGTCTCTCTCTCTCTTTCTGTGTTTTGTTTTGTGGGCTGTGATGGATGGAAAGTGGAGGAGGAGTGGGGGGCACCTGCATTATATCATTCCTTCTCCAGTGCTGATTTCAGAAAGGGAAAAGCCAAAGGAGAGTCCTGGGGTTTCCAAGAAAAGCTGGGAGGGTTTTTTTTTATGTGTTGTCATTTTCCAACTGCATGGCAGGGTGCATAGATGCTTTGGAGATGTGGGCTGTTGAACATTATTGTGTTCACCTGAAGGGAAGAGGGGCAAGGGGAGGGGGAGATGTTCATATTATTGGACTTGGTGAGGTGTTTTCTTGGTAACGATGGAAGTTTTCAGGCTCTGTCTGTGTGTGTATGTGTACACACACACACATACACATATATGAGCTGTTGCTTGGGTAAATGATCAGTGCAGATCCATTTGATTTCCTTAAACAAAGAAACAGTACAAGTGGTTGCTGTAATGCCATCCTACAGCATCACAGTGTTGCCACTGTATATGCTTTTAACATGCTTCTTAAGGAGGATCGTATATTATGGTGGCTAATGCTGTCTTTATAAATATGTAGGAGATGTTATCCTCAATAGACCTGTACTCCTGCAAGTTGGGAGAGCCACACTGCTAACAGAAGCCATTTATATTTTGGCAGAATTGATCCTTAGGAACCCTCTGCCTCTGCTGGTCGAAAGCCATTTGAATATGGACTGGGTGGTGGTGAGGATCATCTTCAGAGATTTAAAAACTGTGTGACTCCTGCTATAGCATAGGCACATTCTTATTTCATGCTATTTCCTTCTGTGGGTTTTAAGAAAAAAAATATCTTGAAGGAACGTCAAGGGAACTAGGAACTGCTGAGATTGACATAACAATATACACACTGTTCTATATTAAACTGGAATGTGTTACATAAGGTTTTGTAGCCAAAGCATAAAATACACAGATTGTAACATAAAATAGTGTATGCGTCAATGCAGACGTATATAGCCAGTGGTGTGACATCTACATGAGAATGCATAGGATTGTATATATATGTGAGTGTGTGTTGTGTATATATATACCCCTCCAGATCAGTCTTTGTTCCTGCCTGCCACGGAGACTTTCTTTAGGCTTTAACTGTAAGGAGTAGGTTGACTCAATTGCTAATAATATAGCTTTACAGTTAGTGTAATTTGCAGGGGAAAGAAATTGAATTGATAAGTGGAATAAAAAGGAAATAACCTATCATTTCTGTTCTGAGGGGGAAAAAGCTGGGATGATGGAAGATAGATGTCAAATAGCTTTTAATGACTCTTCAGATTAGTTTTGTAGTCTTGTACTCTTCCGCCCCTGGTGAGATATTTTGCAGGTATTTCTTTACAGTGTGTATTTTTAACTGTGATGTCATGCCAGGTATCTCTCTTCATGCAACCTAAGCTTTACAACCATGGTCAAAACTCCCTTGAGTAATTTTTATTCAGGGTTGACTTGGCTGGCATTATACTGCTGTAGCAGGTGGCTACAAAGGTTGAAATATATATCCACCTGTTTATTAAGTGTTGAATATGCTGCATCTGTAAGTGAAAATGGTCCAGCCTGCATCATAGTGCAGCTCAGTGGACAAAGTTCCTGGAAACATGGGATCTATGTACTGCTCAATATACTGCGTCTCTGGATACTCTAAAATCTATTTCTCCTCTTTCAAACTCATTTCCTCATATCAAGTACAGAAGGGGAAATGGCCCATCAATCATGTCTGCTGGGTATATCAATTGCGAGCAGTTGTAAAACACTTAAAACACAAAATGCATTAAGCAATGACACAATGTGTAGTTTTGAGTTTAAGCACAGTACAGAAGAACGGCCTGTTGGTTATATACAAACTGGGCTCATTCCCTCATATCTCAGTTTCCACTAATGGAATATCCCATCTTTCTCCTGGGAATAGCCTGAAGAATAGTCTTCCAGAAGATAGCATTTTTATGTCTTCTGTAACTATTAAGTGAAGTGGGTCACACCAGTGTCGTGGACAACAATTGGATGACATGATGTAGCACAATCCCTATTCCTTCCTCAGGACAGCACTACCGAATGAATGTGTTAGTAAGAGCTCTATATTTTGGGTGATATGTTCCAGGACTTCATGTGGATATTCAAAATTGTGGATAATAATGATGCTTATTGAATAAGCGACTTCCATTGGAAGCAAACCATAGAGTTGTGCTGGAGGATATTGCTAAGTCCACCAACATGATATTATGGTCAATTTCTGGCAGAAGCAAACCATAGAATCACCTGGAGGACCTAGAAAGTGTCTGCAAAAGGCATATTATTTTCAAATGAAAACATAGGTATCAGTCCTGTGGATATGGGATTGTCTTGTATTTATTTATTTACAGTTTGCATGGTCTTCATCTACACAATGACTATTCAAGTCCACACTTTTTTTGATAGGAACGCTTAGGAGGCAGATGTTTTAAAATGCGGTAAAGATGGGAAAGAGAAAAGGTTATAGTGTTGCTTCCTCATCTCTAGAGTACACATCTTTCTAAAACTATGTGTGATGTAAGCATTCTTACAGATAAACAATATGATTAAAAAAATTAAAAAAAGCAAATGTACAAACAGAATGTTCAGTATTGGTAATTGAAGTTGCCATACACAGGTAAAATGAAGTAGATGTGATCTTGGCATAACTTCTTTAGCAGAAAATTTGGTCTTGGAGACAAAAAAAAGTTATGGGAAGAATGGGAATAAGTAACTGAGGGACACTTCAATATGTTTTGGCAAATGTTTTATTTTTTTTTTAAATTATCAATATGTGCATGTAAAACCAATTAATCAGCATCAATCACTTAGGCCTTGCACAAGTAAGCAAAATCTTCTAAACCTTCAAGAGACCATCTGAAGACTTCTTTCCAAATGCATCTTGGAATGATGTCTATTTTCACCAGTCTTCAGCTGGTGCCCCTAGTGGCGCAATGGGTTAAACCCTTGTGCCAGCAGGATTGTTGACCGAAAGGTCAGCGGTTCAAAATCCAGGGAGTGGAGTGAGCTCCTGTCTGTCAGCTCTAACTTCTCATGAGAGAGGCCTCCCATAGGATGGTAAAACATCCAGGGAACCCTTGCAGACGGCCAATTCTCTCACACTAGAATTAACTTGCAGTTTCTCAAGTCGCTCCTGACATGAAACAAAAAGCCTTTAGCTATCCTACAATTTCTGTTTCAGTGGCCAAAATTATAGGTGTATGCTTTCTTAACAAACTTAAAGGGGTAGGTGAGACAGGCTTATCTTCTCTCCCACTTTTTTCTGTGTATGCTCAATTTGGGAAACAGCTGCTTTTTCCTTGCCTGTTGTAGGCAGGCCACATGGGTACAGTACATGTAGCTCCAGTGGAATCCCAGGCATTCCTAGCTCAAGCTTTATTGCAGTGTTTCTCAACCTGTGGGTCCCCAGATGTTTTGGCCTTCAACCCCCAGAAATCCTAACAATTGCTAAACTGGCTGGGATTTCTGGGAGTTGTAGGCCAAAACACCTGGGGACCCCAGGCTGAGAACCATTGCTTTATTGCATTATCTGCAGAAGACACAATGTAGCAACTCAGTACTGAAATTCTGTGTTTCTCCAGCCTTCCTTTGCTACCACTTTAATGCAGATGCAGACAGATCATGAGGAAGAAGAGCTTCTTTGTGAAAGGTTTTGTTAACTGAGGTATGTCTGCACTGAGTTGGACTATTGGTTCCCGTAGTCACCTTTGTCAAGTCTGACTGATAGCGATGGCTTTTCAAGGTTTCTTGATAACCAGTCCAGAGATTAACCAGACCTGGTTCTGTTTAGCCTCCAATATTATATTATATCAGACATGTTTAGAGTTGTATGGTAGTCATTCTTTGCTCAGCAAGGATACCTTACTCATCCATATCCTGGTGGTAGCAAGGTAAGGTTATTGTGTATTTCAGAAAGACCAAATTCTGTTCAGTGGAATGTGTAATTAGAGTAACAGGACTGACCCTCAGGGTTGGCTCTAACATTAGACTGTATGGTCAACTTCCATCAGCTACAAGCAAAAAACAAAGACACCAGTGGTTGTCATGTTGCCTGCCTTGTACCCCCTTCACTTTCTGGCTGCCCTCGGGTGCAGTGGGGGCTGTTGTCCTTCAATAAGGTTGACATGGCAGACTGGTTGTCTCTTTTATGGGAAAGAAGGGAGTTTTTTTTCCCATCACCCCTGGCATCAAAATGTATTTGGGTAACCCTATTGGAGCTAGTAAAATCTGTTCTCTCCTTTCTATTTTTTAAAGAACCCGAGGAAGGGCAAACCTTAAATGTTTGCATCTGAAATTAAGTGTCCCCCATTCACTTCAGGGCGGAGGTGGGAGAAAACTCATGACTGAAATGATTAATCATACTGCAGAAGAATGTGTAAGGTCGGATTAAGTGAACACACAGCTTTCAATATGCAAAGGGATCTTGGAGACCAACCGAGAGAACAAAGTTGGTAGCATTTCTAAGCTTCTGTAGACTAAATCCGTTTCCTCAGACGCATGGAGTGAAGTGCCTAGGAAGAGGCTTTTATAGGTAGAACTGTGTGAATGAATGTCATTCAGCTTTCAGTTCAGTGAAAAACTGAGATTTCTTGTTGTTGAGGGGGTGCTCTGCAGGGTGTGGTGGAGGGGAACTTGGGCATGAAAGCAGTTGTGGGGAAGCCGGCACTTCCAAAAGTACAAACTATTCATAACGTCTCACTCTGGCTATGCCTGCATTAATAAAAAGGTTGTGAACCATTCTGGTTGATAGGAATCCCAGCGGCTCAACCCAAACGCTCTGTTGGAGGTGAACATATGAAAAGCTTGAGGGGGAGTACGGCACTTGCTCTCTTGTCT